TTTTTCATTTTTGATAGATGATGCACTCAATTATTTTTACTCCTAACTCGTGTTCAGGAGATATTTATCGAAATTGAATTGTTTGTTTCTTAAAATGCAATACTTTAATGATAGTTTTCTACTTCTATTTTAAATAGATTTTCAATTTTAAGTGCGAATAAATACGGGATGGTCGAAAAGTCACGCACCAAAGGCACAAATATCTTCTTTAAGATCTGAGTAAATGATCTGATTTTTACATTATATACAGACTTTCTGTTCATACAGATAAAGTTAAGTATACCTTGTATCAATTATAGGCCTGTTGAATTCAGAAAGAAACAATCTTATTTTTATATATCAAAAAAATTAATTTTATATAAAAAGCAATGTAATAAAATATTAATTCTGAAAAAATCATTATTTCTCTTTTGCGTTTTATTAGCATACATTCAAATTGCTTTAAATTTCTTTTCACTCTATTCTAGCTCAATTCTGCTTCGCTTAGTTCTAAAAAATAGTCATTTTTCTTCTTTTTCTTAATAAAGATTGAGATTGTTTTAAAATTATTTTCTTTCGCTCTCTCTCTTCACAACCATCGAGTTGCAATAGTCGATTACTTTTTCTTGATCACATATAGTCAATATCTTCCAATATATATTTTGACTATTATTAAAGTCACTATAATATTTGAAACCTTGTATGTTTGAATAATTTTTGGTTATTTCGCGTTTTCGCTTGTAAGTATTTGCTAACTAGTTATTTTCACATGTCTCAGATGCGTTTTGTCTTATTCATGTGAATATGAATTCGTTCTGTTAGATACAATCATGTAAGACATGATATCTGTTATAGCAAAACTTGAGGCATTTTTATACCACTTTTCATAGAAAATGTACATGGAAAAAAAGAGTGCCAACATTTGAGTTCTTTTTATGAATTCCATTTTGTATGCGACTAAAAACGACAAAATAAAATCACTACATTGTGTAAAACAAGCCTAATAAAAATAAAAAAGATTTTGAATATAGAAATATAGTTTGACGTTTATACTTCCGTCTTTCTTCAGCAAGACATTCTTATTTGGTCTACTATACAACTAAAACTGAACTTAAGTGAAACTTCATATCTAGAATAGATAGAGAGCAGTTTGCGATTCGTTCATAGCCTTTTTTCAGAACCTTAAACTTTCATTATCTGATAATTAACCGTAGAAATCATGTTAAGCAAAAAAGTGTTCAAACACAGTTTCATTCGACCTGTAGTTTCTTTTCGAGTTTTTCGTTAAAAAATAATATTTAATAAAACATAATTACTGATGCTAGGTTTTGGTAAAATATGCATATAGAGGTCGATTAACAAAAATGTCGAGCTGACAATGTAAAAAAACAAGGGTAATTTAAGTGCATAAATTTTCACGTCTTAAAGTGACTTCAGTAATTGCTAAAGCATCGGAAAAAATAGGTTTTTACACACACCTCAATGTTCTCTATAATCTGAAGAGATCACAAAATCATTTTGGCAAAGAAAAGAATTTTCCTACAGAAAGCCGGATATCCCCATTCAGCATAAGTGATTTCTAAGTTGATGACCCTACTTTCACTCGCTGATCGCTATAATTAATTTTTTCTCGGTGTTAGACCATTGCGGATGAACACTGTCTCAGTAAGGATTCTGAACTGACCAAGAAGAGAATGCGCATAGCTAATATCGAAAATAGAGNAAAACATACCAACTTCATCAGGAATGACAAGATTGGACGGTGCCAAAAACATGTGTCGGTCGTATTTATTGTTGTCAACATTAGCGTTTATCTTGAACCCGTTCATACTTTTCTTGAACTCTTCGTGAGTCTGCAAGTAGAAGAGACCTATCTTCATGTGACAACCTTGACTAGTATGAAAAGCTTACCAAATCACCGAAACGATTCATCTTCATAGTATAAGTGTGAAGACCGAGATCATGTTCAAGGTTGTGCTGACGAATTTTGGCAACATTCTTCTCCCAGATTGTTTGCCTGTTCGCATGCATGTGAAAGAAAAGAATTGTATTGAAAATAAAGACAAAATATTCTAGTTCTTTACCGAGCAGTTTCTTCTGTGATCGTTGCGTACTCTTTCTTGTGCGTACGTTTAAATAACTTCCAAGAGTTGTTCAATTCTTCATCGAAAATCGATGCACAGTACGTTCCAACAAAAAGAAGGCAAAAAACATAGATAATTTTCATTGCTGTGTGTTTGTTTAGGTCTCTCTATTATCAAAATGCAACTTAAAATGAAACAAGGTAAGAAGTATACTCTTATATACGCAAAAAGGACATGTGACTAACCATCGCATCATGCAAAGATAAGATGTTTTTGAAATAACATTCAGGAGTGATTAAAAAAATGTCGCAGCTTGAATGTAATGATGCAGCACAAAGCACAATATTGCGTTTTATCGTTTGTAAATATGGACTGTACAATGACTATGCATCTATTATAACTTTGAATAACTTATCTTGAAAATATCGATATTCTCCAGCTGACAGTTAATTCGAAAGATCAAGTTTGGAAACAAGAAAATAGAGAAGACATGTAAGAACCGATCTAATAATTGTCGAAACGAGCAGAACTAGCTTTTGAATATAAAAAAGTTTATTTTGAACTAGTTTTGGATGAAGATGAAGGTGAGTGTGCGACGATGTAAGTGTCAGTTTCGATCAGTGATGTCATCCATTCTAACACCCTCACCCTGGAAATCATTTGTATTTCGATTTCCTTGTGAGATTAGGATACCAACTGATAAGATCAGATTACCATCATTTATGGATGGTACAGTGCAAAGAAAGAATGTTATTTTTGTTTATGGCGGTAGTTTTTCCCCAATCCATTAAAATTATCTTGCAGTGATGAATTTCGTTGCAGAAACACTAGAAAAATCTTCATATGAATTTGAAATTCTAGGTAGTTACTTTCGCCCATCAAGTGAACGTTGGATATAAAAAAACCTGCCTGAAAAATATTTACCTAATGCGCACAGAGAAGTTCTACTTCTATTAGCTACTGAAGGTACAAGGTGGATGATTGATCGTAGTTATTCATCATCGAAGACGCGTGAGAAAAATATTATTAAAGAAATTCAAAATGAATTTGGTACAGATTTTGAAATCACAGTTGTCCATATTTGTCGAATTGATGCTATCGAATAATTATAATGGAAAAAATGTTGCTACATAGTATCCATTGATAATGGTTGATTGTTTGGGATTTAACTCTTTGGCTCCCGGCTTTTTTTTATAACGAAAATCGGAATTTTTTATAAGAAATCTTTCAAGATATGTTTATTTATTTAGGAAGATATACTATTCTTGTATGAAAAATCCCTTAGTACTTCACTTTTGTATGATAATTTCTGAAGCAGTCGACACTGCATAGAGGAGCATCACAATCAGCGCAGAAATACCGTGTATCACGTCGAGTATTATGAGATGTACAAACGACGGATTTTCTTTGAGGCTGTTTTCATTGCGATGTTTGTGGAATAAGTGAAGGGAAATGACGAGCAGATAGACGAAGAGAAACGAAAGAAAAGTGATTACACTGGAATGCACTGAATAAGAAATAATACGTATCACCGTACAGAACGAAAGAAAGCAAATACAAAGTAGATATATAACACTAACAAGTCTAGAGCAAAGAAAAATGCATGGCATTTCTCTAATATCACTTAGTAAAAGATAAAAAGATGTTCCAAAAAGTTAAACAATATACTAGAAGCACCTTTATTCGATAATCGTGTTTGGACGTATATATACGTCGCCAGGAGCCAAAGGGTTAATGGAGAAATTTTACGGAAAGAGCATTTTGAAAGAACAACAATCGAAAACGATTAACGTGGATTTTACCATGGACAGGTGAAATCAGAAGTTCAACGATGATTCAAAATCTGATTTCATCTTCTTACATAGATTATATTTTGGGACATCAATTACGAAAACAGCTTGATAAATATTCGTGATGAATTTAAATAGACTTTAAAATGCTCTTCATATCGAAAATCGTGATCGACATAGAAGTCTGACTAAAGTTGTCATGCTTTTTTTGTCAATCTTTATCTGCTCATGTATTAATGTCATTTTATTAAAAACTTTGTTATAACGCTTGACAAAGTTAATCTTCGTCTGGGACTTATGCTACCAAGCAAATTTGTTTTTCTTATTGATATGAGAAATAACTAATAGTGACGATGTAAATTTGTTCGGTACACATTTTAGGTGACGACGCGTTTCTTTGCAAAAAAAAGCATTAAATATAGAATCAAAAGATTAGGTCTTTTAATTTTTCATTCTCGAAAAATGCCGACGTGTTATTTTTATTTGCTATATAAAAGAAAAAATATTGTTAGCGTTTTTTTTTCATTATACGTAGGACATACACTATGGTTTCAGTAGCGATTCACTGTGTTCTAGTTATTATCTTCAGGTAATTCTAAAATTTCAATATTTTAGCGTATATAAATATTTTATTTTTATTAATTTAGTTTATCAATCATTAAAGTTAATTGTTATATATGTCATGGAACATCTCAATATGGTCGATGTTCAACAAATGGTGCATGTGGTTGTTTTGATATGATAGGTTCTGATAATACCGGAATATGCGCATTTCTTTGGGTAAGCTGTTCTCAACTCAAATTATGTAACTCTTCGACTAATATTTGTGACAAACTCGGTGATATATGCGTACAGCATCCTCGTTGTAATTCACATTCTGTTTGTTATCCATCATCAATGATCGATGAAAGAATATGTCCAGCATTGCCAAGTAAGAAGCAAACTATTTTGTCATCATTTATAATGACATATAATTTAAACATGTATTTTATTCTATCTCATACGAAAATTATCTATATGTTTTATATTAATAAATAGATGTTAGCACCACCACCACCACCACAACAACAACAACAACTACTACTACTACTACCATTCAACATTTAGGTAAGACTAACGTATTAAAACATTTGTTATTCTCGGATGTTATTGCAATACGTGAGATAAGCACACTTCAATGGAGATCAGTAGAGTTGCATAATCAATGTATTTCCTCCGAATCGAATGACTTAGAGATATGTGGTTTTCACTAACAAATATGAAACGTTGTTAAGCACAAGGTGATATACGAGACATATATTGATACATCACTAGAACTCCTATAATTATAACTCTTTTCAATGTTTTCATTTAGGATGGGGCAAAACTGGAAGTATGAATAATGGAAGGTTTGGTCATGCAGCATCCGTTTTAGCAGATGGAAAAGTTATTATTACTGGTGGAGCTCAAAGCTTTGGTACTTTTTATAGTGTTAATTTAAATGATGTTGAAATATACGATCCATCAACAGAAAGTTGGACAACTGCAAATAACATGAGTTATCCACGAAATGCTCATACATCAATTACTTTAAAAAATGGAAAATTATTAATTATTGGTGGAATAAGTAATACAAATGTTTTAAATAGTACTGAACTATATGATCCAGAAACAAAAACTTGGTCTTTCACGGGAAATCTAAATACTAATAGAAATTATCATACATCCTCTTTATTAACAGATGGAAGAGTATTAGTTTCCGGTGGAGCAAATCCTCTTAGTATAATACGTAGTGAATTATATGATCCTCAAACACAAATATGGACAATGACAGGTGCTATGAATTTCCCACGACAAAGTCATCAAGCATCTTTATTATCAAATGGAAGAATTTTAATTAGTGGTGGATATGGAGAAGGTTATTACTTAAATAATTCTGAGTTATATGATCCTCAAACAGGAAAATGGACAATTACAGGTAGTATGAAACATCCACGAAGTGATCATACATCAACTGTTTTACCAAATGGAAAAGTTTTAATTACTGGAGGGCATGATGAAAAAAATAATCTAAATAGTGCTGAATTATATGATCCTAATACAGAATTATGGACAACTGTTCAAAATATGAAATACGAACGAAAGAAACATACAGCTACTTTATTAACAAATGGAAAAGTATTAGTTACAGGTGGACAGAATGGGCCTATGTTAAATACTGTTGAATTGTATGATCCAACAAGTGACAATTGGATAACTATTGATAATATGAATTATGAACGAGGTTATCATACGGCATCTATTCTAAAAAATGGAAAAGTATTAATTGTTGGTGGATATTCTGAAATCGCTTTGAATACGGCAGAATTATATTAAAAAACTTGAATAAGAATGAAATAATACATTGATAAAGCTAGGGGAGGGTGTCGGTGTAAACATCGAATTTTGACGAACTGTTTCATATACGATTATCGAATCTGATAATCATTTTTTGGGCTAATTTGGAGAGTATGTATAAATGTTTATTAAGCTTTGGAAAACATTGAAAAGAGCTTTTTATCCGTTGCACTGTGATAAACTTGTGAAGAGCTTATCGAGTCGACGGTTTTTTTTCAGTGTAGGTCGATCATGGGTTGAACACTTACGCCCGCCTATTCTTACTGCGAGAAAAAAAAATAGAAGGCGAGAATATCTGATATATCATCAATGTTTCACAGATGGCAACTAAAAAAGCTTTTATTTCCAACGTTATACCACTGATAAATGAGTAAAGCAGAAGGTAAAAATCTTCGAAGAATTTTTTTATCCTATCCAATACAGCAAAAAGCAGCAACACTACATAGGCTACTCATTTAGAGAATAATGAAAAATAAGTCTTGTTTTCTACTTTTCTATTCAAGTAACCAGTTGTATGAAAAAAAATTCATTTCTATCGTCATCAATAGATATTCTGAAAAACTATCTAATGCTAAAAGCTATTTTCAAAAAAGTGTTTATTTCTCTATTGATTCCCTCATAGTTTTTTCATCCTTTGATCCCTTTACTGTATGTAGTCGTTGAAAACTTTTTTGAGTATGTGATCATAGTCGTATCCTTCATTGCGTTTTTCCTTATAGAAATTTTAAAGTGAATCCAGGTCAAAATGGCAGCTATAATTATGAACGTCTGTTTAAAGATAACAAATCTTGCTGACAAAGGAAAGACAGCTATTTGGAATTTAAATCTTTTCAAATCTATACCACCTGCGCAAGATGCTTTAACATTGCGAAAACAATCGTTTTCCACGCGACTATACCTTATTCTCTTGATTACGTTTCTAACCGTTTTTACCACTTATACTACACAAGTTGGTATTATTCAAGTAGGAACGGTTAAAAATCCATCCTATTCAGACTACAAGCAACTTTTCGAGCAATATCAGTATAAACTAATCTGTCCTTGTACAACAATCGTTATTCCAACTGATGATTTTCTTCAATTAAATGTTACATACCATGAAATATGCTCAAGTGTTTTTGTTCACTTTAATTGGACGTATTTAATGGTTGTTGTAGAAGCATTGTCATTACCGGTTTCCTTATTCGACTTTCGTAAAACCGGTGGACCTATCTTTAAAATACTGGCTTCATTTTGTGATTTTGCCAAACAATTTAGTAGCAAAGAACTACGAAATTTTGCTGATACACCTTTTATCACTGACAATGTTATATCCAGCGAACTTTTAAATCAACAGTCTCTATCATCTGTTAATTTTTTTGTTTCAAACTTGGAGAGCAGTTTCATGAGCACACTTTCGCTTATTCGTTTAACTACCAGCACTGATGGACTGGTAACCGGCACACTAAGTAACTTTGATTATAAACTCGTCCCGCATCCATACAATCCAGTCATGCTACAAGCTGTACCAAATATACATACTTTTCCAGAAAACAATTGTACCTGCTTCGGAGTCACAATGTGCGCAATTCCAGCATTTATTTCATTCGACGGTTAGCAATTTCTTTTGTTATTCTTTTCATTTTAAAGCTTAGTACTTTTGCATTTATCATTTTTTGCCGGATCAATGAGAATACAACCGTCAGATTGGATGCTTGCAGATAACAATTAGCTTGTTGTACTATAGATGAATCTGCTATTGAGAAATTATCTATTTGAATTTAGATCTCAGTAATCAATCAAATTCTTTGGTGGAATATATACCTGGTTTATATATAGGTTGCTATCCTATTGACGGACTATTACAATCTAACGTGGAATTATTTTTTAATCAAAGTGAAATTGATCGTATTCTTCGATTACTATTGAACAAAACAGATGTACCAAGTGAAACCTTTCGTGCTCTTGACTCGACGCTTCTACGAAGATTTACTGTTAAAACATCTGTGAATGATCTCGTCGCTCGGTTGTTTATTGATGTCTGGACAAATATAACTTCTCATGAAAGTTATTTTTTGTCTTGTAAACCAATCGAATGTCATTACTCATTTCCCAGTAAGCGTAAGTTCATTGTTACTATTACTATTGTTTTTGGAATCATTGGTGGTTTGAATACGATTCTTCGTTTTCTGGCACCTTTGAGTATCAATATCAGTTTTTTTCTTAAACAAAGATCTATTTATTCCAATACTAATTCATCTACTATTGAAAACAGTAAGTCGGTTTGTACAAGTATTATTTTATAGCTAATTAATCTATATATTTTCAGGAGCAAGACAACCTCCTCCAATTCGAATTCATACTGTATTGATTAAACTAAAAAAATACCTTGTTCAATATAATATGTTTTTAACAAATTCTTCTTTAAATAATGTTCATAAGATTCGAAGTCAAAAAATATCAACTCGCCTGTTTGTCATCGTTATGAGTGTTAGTTTTATTATCCTTGTCGTTTATAATACTCTACAGGAAGTAACAACAATAATCACTATAAAGCAACCCAATTATATTAATTTTCAAGAGTTATCTCTTCAGTATTTACGAACTCTCTCTTGTCCCTGCACAAAAACTTCTGTCGTATATGGCATGTTTGTGGATATTAAACCAACATTTCATCCTATTTGCTCAAGTGATTTCGTTTCTGCTGCGTTTTTAAATCATTTATTAACTATACCAGAAACACAACAGCGGTTCCATTTAAATTTGTTTCAATTCATTAAATCATTATGCGATTTGTCAAATGCGACTATTACTGAAAATTTTCTCGTTTTCAAACAAATTCAATTTGTTTCGAGAGAAATGCTTTCCAAAGATCTCTTCGAAAAACATATCAAGGATATAGTCGATCGCTATATTCAGTCAATCATAAATCCATTTGTTCTTTCGCTTTCATTTATTCGTAATATGACAATAGGAAATAAACTCATGAGTGGCTTTAATACTAACGTTTGGATATTGGTACCTGCTATGCCTGGAATGGGTAATAATTATTATGAAACAACTCTGTATCCAGGTCCCTGTGATTGTCTATTAGAATCATGCATAACACCTCTTGTATTGGGAACACCTGGTGGACCACCCATCGTGCTCCCTGGCTTATTTCATGGTTGTAATATTGTTGATTCCATTCTGAAATCTGATTTTCAATGCTGGTTTGATTTGCATTGTACGACATTTTATCTGAGTGTTCTCGGTTCCAAATTAGATATTAATATTTCAGCGTTAAATTCGTCGGCTACTCGTTTTCCTATGTTTACTTCTTTGAATAGTTTAGTCCAAGAATTATTCGTTGAAGATTGGAACCATAATATATCTCATATTGATTATTTTCATCAGTGTAACGTAGCGAGTTGTTCCTATACTATTGAAACAAAAAATAACTTACTACTTATTCTAACAGCTACTCTCGGATTACTCGGTGGAATTCAGGTTGTTTTACGATTTATTTTACCGAGGTTGGTTTGGCTTATATATTATTGGTGCTTTATTAGACGTCATGTCCGTGATAACGATAGAGAAATTGGTGGTAAGTTAAATACTTAATGATCTTAAAAGGGCGAGTTTGATTTTTAAATTTCCACTTATGAATGTTAGAATCTTTCATGACATTCTCTTAGAATTAAATACATGCTCCGATGTAGTTGAACTTGCAGGCAGCCCCAATAAGAGACTATTTAATCTTCAATCAGCTATTCAGACTGAAATCTCTTTAATCTCAATTTAGAATATCCACCAACAAATTCCATAGTACTTGTACTGAAAAATATAAAAACATTCCTAATGAACTACAACATATTCGTTTCGTTTCCACCAGCCGTAAATGCCAGTATTCGTCGAAATCAACTTATTGCAACACGTCTGTTCATATTTTCTCTTACAACGTCAATGACTGCAATTACACTTTTCAATTTACTATTGCCTATTCCAATGGTAGTAACGGTTAATTCTCCGACTTATCAAGACTATCTTGATTTATACGATCAATATGACCAAAGCCTTGATTGCCCATGCACGTTCGTTGCAGTTCCATACTCAAGTTTCATGAAAACTAATGTATCGTTTCATCAAATATGTTCAAGCGTATATATTCGACCAGAATGGGCACGGATAGTTTACTCGTCCAGTAAAACTCATCCAATAGTTAGTATTTATGATTTTCGAAAGACGGGAGCGCATATTTTTCAGGTCATTGCATCATTTTGTCAACTGACGAATGAGACCGTTAACAATGGACTTATTTTATTCAGTTCCCAACGACTTATATCGAATAACATAATCAAAAAAAATACTTTTCTGCTACAAACAAATGGTTCATTGAATTCATTTCTTAAGTCTATGAAAAGGTATTTATACAGACATATAGTACGATTCTGAATGTATGAAAATCATCGATATAAGAAATGATGTTGAAAAATCAGTAAGACCGAGGATCTATTTTATATACCGTTTGATGTAACTTTTCAAACTCTACCCAATTTCATATTTTATTTTTTGCAAACAATTAGTTTAAGGAATTCGATATAATCTTTTAGTGACTTTGATCGTACATTACAGCTGCTTCAAAATACAACAAAAAATAATGGGCTGATTAGTCTTACTGAATCGAATGCGCTCATTACTGGAATGCCTACAAGTGACAACCATATGACTGCCTTTCCGGCCTACCAGATTTATCCTGTTAATGATTCATCGGGAATATTTTGTCATTGTCGACCGCCTGGTAATTGTTTTAGACGATCGGTGATTCAAGATGCACAATTTCTAAACAGATTTAATGTTACTGGTATGGTGGTAGCGTGTTTACCTGTTGAAGCAGCTTTAAAATCAACACCTTTCTGTTTGTTCGATCAGACATGTGTCGATAAACTGTATTCAATTCTACGTGAAACAGCATTATTACGCGAGAACGTAAGTATCATTGCACTTGATAGGTCGTTACCAAGTCAGTATTCGTCAGAAACGAAAATAGAAGACATTGTTTACCAGCTGATGATAGAAAGTATCACTATGAATGCTTCGCACGAACAATACTATAACAATTGTCAACCGTCAATATGCTCTTATACGATTCAAAAGCATAACAACTTTGTTTATGTTTTCACTGTCGTTCTCGGTCTTGTTGGCGGTCTTTCGAAAGTTTTACAAGTGATTTTACCTCGCTTAGTTACATTATTTTATAAACTGATTAAACAGTTTTGTCATTGCAATCGGTGTCGAAACCAAATTCAACCGTCTTAATTTGCTTTTACTGTGATTCGATCGTTTCTGTTGTACGTAATTACATTGTCTGTTTTATTTTGCCAGCTTATATAATAAAATAATATGGTACTCAGATTGTATAGAAAGAACATTTTAGAAAATTTATTAAACATGCATTATATTGAACTCAAATTTTGATTTCATAAATGAGATAAGAAGACTTCTAATTCACTTTCATGTAAAAGAAAAAGAAAAATACTTAGTTTCTCATCCAGGTTGTGCACTTTGAATCAATTTAATAATACTAATTTTGTCAGTCGCCTTGAAATTAAATCGATTGTTACTGATAATAAGATTGAATATTAAGAGATCGACCTTGTTATCTAAACTGTAAAGTATAGAACTAGCAAAATTATAATCATTTTGAGAAGTGAGTTGAACTGATTGTAATGATGGATAAAAATCAATTTTACATACAACATCCCAACTTGACATTTGACTTCATACCATTCAATAAAATTCACCATTACGTTTTGATTGTACGAAATGCTGATATTTCAGATAAACTGTTTCGTAATATACCAAAACCTCCGTCCTTATCTGATAGTGCTTGATCTACAAGTTCATGTTTATAGGTACGATAAATACCACAACTGCACTACACGGTATATTACCAAATATTTTCTGACTAGTTGAATCATTTTCAATAGCTCCTAGTTTATATGTGCACTTCGCTGGTTTCAGCCGACTGAGGTGAAAATGTGAGTGCCCCGTTATGTGCGATGTAGACCGTAGCAGGAATTTTTCTCTTCGTTGTTCTACCATAATTTGAATGAATCAGATTCTGTGTGAAACTATACTGCTCCCGCAATGCATAAGAAAAACAGGGACAACAGTGTTCTCTAATTAAAAATAGGATAAAGCTACATTTTACTGCATCACGATGATCACTGCCAACGATGCCAGTTTCGATTTCGCCGTCCGTATATAAATTTCGGATCAGTTTGTACACGAAAAGAGTGGATTCATTGGCGGTAGATGACTACTCATGAGATTCTTTTCGTTATATTCCTAAATTTATAAAAATAAAAGACATTTTCGAATTCTTGTTCAAAAGAACTTTGATACGCTGTAACAAAATCTTAGAATAGTAAACCTTCTTTAGGGATCTATTAACTTTATAAGCTTTAGTGAAGATGGTGTATACATTGCAATTTCATATACCCTTACAATGTTTATTAATGTTGTAAATTTCCGACGCCCACACCATTCTTTCCTATGGGGGTACACTACACCCATAAACCTAAAATTGGTTTACCCCGCGACCATTTTGCTTCCTCGAGAGTTTCATAATTCAACGTTTTTTCTACAGTGTATCTATTGTTCCGAGGATTTTGGTTGAAGATATACGTGAATTTATGCTTAATGAATCAGTAACTCATTTTAACGCGTTTGATCTTATTGTTAAGTCGCAAATATCTGCTAGTAATGATAATAACGTGCGAGTTGTTGTTAAAAATGATGATTTTAGTGTAAACATTTGTAGACTACTATTTCTTCTTACTTCGAATCTGTATCTGTAAATGAAGTAATTGAAAAAATGATCTAATAATCATTTGATAATGATTCAACCATTCGTCAGTAACACTTATGATGAAGACGAAATATCTATTCTTGCTTTAAACGGTCAAAAAAGTCGCATGTAATAAGAAAAATTGTTCAGCCTAATGATTATTGTTCACAAGAGAAACACGATGGTACGCATATTCTTTTTGCTAGTCTTATTCAAAAATATATATGTACATGGATTGCTGAAGCATTAGCAGCTTGTTCCCAAATGCCGATCTATGCACGTGTTGATATTTCGCATAATTATATAACTGGTTATCGGTGTGTTTTTGAACTTGAACTCATTGAACCAGGTCTCGTTTTTCACAATGTATCTGATAATGGAATGGTTTTTGCAAATGCTATTAATGCAGCAAATGAATTAACATTCTTCGATTTATTTATAGATTTTATAAATAAATAAGACATTCATTCAGAACCCAAACAGACAAGAATCGCCAAAAACGTGTGGAAACGGTGTAAATACTTTTGCCTGCTGTGCATGTCATTAGTTGTTTTCGATTAGCAACTAGAAGCGTCACAAATAAGGATTTATGTAAACCTTTAAAGTTTCCATTACGCTGTTTTGTTTTTAAATCTCACTAATGTCTTCCAGATTCGTTATCTAAATAAAATAATGGAGAATTGTTTTATCTATTTTTTCTTGCCACGCATGTCAATCACATACGAAATATACATAGCAGCTTCTAAATAATATCTTTATATAGAAAGAAATCCATCCACATTTGTATCATGCGATATTTTACAAAATAATTATTTCGTATTATAGTCCAAACAGTTATTTTCAGTGAAATATAGGAGTGCCCCATTCTTATTACAGTCTCGAGAACGAAAACGCAAGGTGTGTTCTCATTCTGAGGAGTGAGCTAGGATGGCATTCCTAACAAGCAGGCAGACCAGACCTGTAAAAACCATGTCTAGCTTGCACCTCTGGTACAAATGTATCATTTTAGTTTTCACTACTGTTCTCCTCCGACATTAATGAGCTAAAGTGAAAGCACCACCCATTGTTTTGACTCTGATGTAATATATCATCAAAAAGTTCCTGAAAGTTTGGTAGTAGTTTTGTGAATATTTATTTCAAAATGTGTCTATTATAGTTTTATTAATTGAAATAATCACAAAAATAGTAGTTCGATGTTTCACCAACAAAATGCTGTGGCAATACCAGAAGCTTGACAGCATTTTACAAAAGCACCACTATCAATACCATTGTTATACCTTGTACACTTGAAAATTAGAAAATAAAATATGTTACCGGCAAAATATGTGCGAGAAAAGTGAATTCTTACTTGATGGTTTGGACCGGGATAGTTAACATTTACATTCCAACCTCGTTGTTTTGAACAACAATCTTCTGTGTTACCATTGGGTTGACCACGCCCGTCCTGACATTTACAGTTACGACCAGCAAATGCATCAAACAAGATAAGTGTTTGGACAAAATTTCAGTGTGCATATATAACTTACCTGGTTGCAAGCAAGGCAAGACTGCCCATGTAAACACCAGACGCAGGATAAACGCGTATCTCAAGATAACTGCGTCTGAATGCAAAACAGAATAATCTTTTAGCTGCATTCAGATGCGTGTGTTAACAGGATCGCGTCTACACATGGTCTTAACTCAAAAAGAAAAACGCAACCAGACGCGATGGATGTTTAAACCGTATCCAAACGCAACTACAACTGGTGGTAAACGCAATTGGACGCATCTTTGTAGAAAGTAGCGCTTGGCTGCGTTGACAAATATAACTGAAATACGTTTCGACGCGGCTTAACACATTTGAGATGCGTTTCCAATTCTCTAAAAATGCGTTTGCTTTTGGTAGCTTTGTCTAACAAGGGAACATATCCAGGTGTGTTCCGGGGATTTTAATGGAAATCATGTGGGTGTGTTGACCTAAGTATACCTATCTCAGGTGTGAAACAATTAGGTGCTCTTACTATCTTAGTAAAAAAAATATAGGCAAAACACTTTTCATAATATTAACACATATATATCGCTATACTATGTGTATTTCGAGATTTTTCAAATATTCTAGCGTATTTTACATCTGGTTCTATGTGTGTGTCGTCTATGTTTTCATTGCATAACCCTTCATTTCTATCTTAACTATATGTATTAGGTATCTCTGTATCTATACTCGCTTTTCCAAGCTTCTGTAATCACTAATTCTTTGTTCTTCTGATATCGATCGCTCTTGTATTCGTATGTTCGTTCGTTTTTCAGCCTATATATATATCACGTATGATTTTAATGAATAATACAGTGACGTTTACGACTTCTAAAGTTATTTACTACGACTTTTTCAAAATCAACATGTGAAATGTTAACAATTTTTTCGCATTTTTAACAATCTGGCGCGTCAGAAACATCCAGAACCTACTCAAGATGAACCATCGTCCAAAGATTATGAGCAAGCCGATCAATTGTTTTTGTTGTTTAATCAACTGTTAACTTCTGCAGAAATACTAGCCGATCATATTGTAACATTGGATTTTGATGAATATGACGATTGTAGTGCTGATTACCAGGAAGAAGATGACAATGCTGTTGCATTGAATGTTGATGACATAAAATATTCTTGTGATACAATGTGTGCCATTGTCGAGTTTTCAAAAACACACACCTTCCCTACATTAACAACTGCGTCGAATAAAGCAATATGTTAATGCCCAATGTACGAAAACACAGAAACTCCAACTTGTCGACAATTTTGTTTATACGGAATTTATTCGTGCTCGAGAATGCTGTGTACCAATACACGATTCTGATTCAAGGCGCTTGGCCATTAGAAAAGCACATCATTTAAATCTGGTCGGTTTTATGGCATCTTCTCACTGCATATTAGACTTCAAACGTCGGCATCACATTTCATCAAGAAAAGTCACAAAACTGGTAACCAAAAATCATCTGGAAGACCGAAATGAAATATTAAAATCCGCCGAACGTTTTGTCAAAACAGTAAAAAGTACTATTCAAGATTATGCTGAAGATCATATATTAAACAGCGACCAAAGCAGTTTTAAGTACGTTATTTATAGATAGAAAATAATCAAACAGAAAATAATTTCTAATATATTAGCCATGACAACCCATCAACACGGACGCTAGCAACAACCGATGAAAAAATAATTAAAGGCCACGTCAA